CCTACATTATCTTTTAGGAGTTTTAGAATTTTGCATCTTGCATTAGGGCAGGGATCTCTTTTGATTTAATTTCTGGCCCGTGTTTGTACAGGGCTGGCCAGTTCGCCTGCAGTGTTTGCTGAGCAGACCATCTTTCCCCCGCTGAATCACCTCTGATCCTGTGTCAAAGATCAGCCGATTACACTCAGATTTCTGTGGATCCGTTTCTGCACTCTTGATCCTGTAACACTGGTCTATTTGTCCATCTGTCACCAAAATCACACTGCATTGATTGCTACAGCTTTGCAGCCAAACTGGAGTTCCCACGGTGCAGCGTGGAGTTGGCTGCTCCGTCTCTGCCTCACCATAACCTTGGTTGGCAGTGAGGAAACAGCCCGGATGCCTGAGACTCCAGGTCTCACTCCAGGACGATGTCTCTGATTCCAAGTAACTCACCTGCCCAACCTAACGACTTCTGTGCCCAGAGGCCACCTGGCAGGGGCGTGGACACGGGAGGGAAGCAGGAAGAACTCGCACGGAGCTTCTGCTCGGCAGCGCTCTGCGGACCGATGAGGTTGGGCAGCTGGTGCCAGCCTGTCCTCCTCCTTTGGGCCTTCTCTTTAATTGCTCTTGATTTATTTGCATTTATTTGAAAGGCAGGGAGACAGATGGATGCAGAAAGGTCTTCCGTCTGCTGTTTCACTTTCCAAATGCCCACAACAGCTAGAACTGGGTCAGGCTGAAGCCAGGAACCTGTGACTTCACCGGGGTTTCCCGCATGGGAGACAGGGAAACAAGCACTTGAGCCATCACCTTCTGCACTCCAGAAGTCACGTGAGCAGGCAGCTGGGCCAGAAGGGCAGCCACCGGGCCAGCGCTGTGCCACAGAACGTTGAGCCTCTGGCTGTGGCACCAGCATCCCTTATGGGAGCCAGTTCAAGTCCAAGCTAGTCCACTTCCAATCCAATTCCCTGCTAATAGCCTGGAAAAGCAGTGGAAGACGGCCCTTGCCCAAGAAGCTCCCGACTCCTGGCTTCGGATCAGCCCAGCTCTGGCCATTGAGGCTACTTGGGTGATGAACTAGTGTATGGAAGACCTCCCTCTCTCTCTCTCTCTCTCTCTCTCTCTCTCTCTCTCTCTGTCAGTCCTCTGTCTATAAACTTGCCTCTCAAACAAATAAATAAATCTTGGAAAAAAAAAGAAAAAACCATGTTTTATATATTCTGAATACAAGCCCTTTCACAAATATGTTTACATCTCAGATCTGAACAAATATCTTTCCTGCTCTGTTGCTTGATTTTTCCCCAAATATTTATTTATTTATTTGAAAGGCAGAATTACAGAGAGAGAGAGAGAGAGAGAGAGAGAGAGACAGGGAGGAAGAGACAGAGAGAGATCTTCCATCCACTGGGTCAGTCCTCAAATGGCTGTGACAGCCGGAGCTGAGCTTTTTCTGGGTCTTCCACGTGTGTGCAGGGCCCCAAGGCCTTGGGCCATCCTCCACTGCTTCCCCAGGCTCATTAGCAGGAAGCTGGATCAGAAGTGGAGCAGCCAGGATTCAAACCAGTGCCCACATGGGATGCCAGTGCTGCAGGCTGGGGCTTTAACCCTCTAGATGTTTTTAATTTGCCAAAAAGATTATGACAATTCTCACTTTCTAGTCACCTGATGAAAACATACAGTCACACACCCAGTAACAATGCGTCAGTGAACAACTGACCTCATACACCACGATGATGAGATTACAACGGAGCTGAAAAATTCCTACACCTGGAGACGTCATTGCCGCTGAAATGCAGAGCAACGCGTCACTCGCGCGTCTGTGGTGACGCTGGTGCACAGGAACCCACTGCAGGCCAGCTGTGCAAAAGCACAGCACACGTGGTACGTGCAGTACGGAACACGCGATGACGACACTGAACGCTTGCCTTGCTCACGATTTCCAAGTGCACTCCTACTTAGTTGCCGCTTTTTTAAGGACAGGATCACTGGCACCAGTGCGGTGGTGCAGCAGGTTAAGCCACCACCTGCGACGCCAGCATCCGCGTCAGAGCACCCAAGTTCTGGCTGCTCGGCTTCGGATCCAGCTCCCTGCTCATGTGTCAGCAGAAGACGACCTGAGTGACTGCACCCCTGCCACCCACGTGGGAGACCTGGATGGAGTTCAAGCCCCTGGCTTCTGGGGCAACTGCAGCTGTTGCAGCTATCTGGGGAGTGAACCAGCAGGTGGAGGATCTTTCCTTCTGTGTCTCTCCCTCGATCTGTCACTCTGCCCCTAAAATAAATAAAATAAATCTTAATAGAAGGTTACTCTGCCGGCGCCACGGCTCACTAGGCTAATCCTCCGCCTGCGGCACCGGCACACCGGGTTCTAGTCCCGGTCGGGGCGCCGGATTCTGTCCTGGTTGCCCCTCTTCCAGGCCAGCTTTCTGCTGTGGCCCGGGAGTGCAGTGGAGGATGGCCAAAGTGCTTGGGCCCTGCACCCTATGGGAGACCAGGAGAAGCACCTAGCTCCTGGCCTCGGATCAGCGCGGTGCGCTGGCCGTGGCGACCATTGGAGGGTGAACCAACGGCAAAAGGAAGACCTTTCTCTCTGTCTCTCTCTCTCTCTCTCACTGTCCACTCTGCCTGTCAAAAAAAATTATAATAATAAAATAAAATAAAATAAATAAGAAGGTTATTCTAAGGCAGTGCTGTGTCGCACTGGCAGCAGCCTCATCCCGCTGGTACCTCCCCAGACTCCTGACTGCAACAAACAGCCACACTGAGTGACCAGCACCACCTAGGTGTGTGTCAGTGCCCTCTGTGGTGTGTGCACACAATGGTGGGAACACTTCATGATGCATTTCTCAGATCACACCCCTTCAGGAAGTCCTGGGTACTGGTTAGTCAGCTAGATAGATTGGGGGGGATGCAGATATGGGTAAAGAGGGAGATATGCAAGTGATGGATGGATGGATGGATGGATAGATAGATAGATAGATAGATAGATAGATAGATAGATAGATAGATTCTGTCTGTTTCAGTGGGAGAGTCAGCCACATTGAGAGACGAACGCAAGCCTAGGTAGACAGGGGCCGGGGCTCCTCGCCCACCGTCTGGAGATGAGTCTCCCAGGACCTGCGTGAAGCCAAACAGCTGGCTTCTGGGAAGGAGGCTGACGCCCGGGCTAGTCCTTGTGGTCAAGGTTTTCCGTGCTGCTGTAACTGATCTAAGTAGTGAGAATTCTGTGCTTCTCGGGGGAAAGTCTCGTGTGTTTTCTGTAGAATTTCACACAATGAACCAACCAAAACCACCCCTCCCCTGGCACCCAGCACAAGAACTCCCCCGACCGTCTGTGCCAACCCCCGACGGCCCGACGCCTCCACGCAGAGGGAGCTTTCTCTGCTGCTTTTGCTCTCTGTGCGAAACCACTTCCGGCTGACACGGCCTTCCTTGTCCACGCTCCTCATTCTCTGTGGACGCAAGACACAAACCGAGGGAGAAAAGGAGTTGTAGACACTGCAGAGCCCGCGGCGGCACACCCAGCCTGCCACTCCTCTCTGTGCGTCTCTGATGTCTGATATTTGGTCCGTGCAGGCCTGTGTGCTTCCAGAAGAGAAGCTTCCGTGGCTGTGCACTCACACCCCGGGCCTCACCTCTAAGGCTTCTAGACCTGTGTGCGGGAGACTCTTCCCGCCCACGGTCACAGCGTGCCACGTCTCCTGACAGTTGCTTGGTTTCCTTTTGCATTTAGCTCTGTACCTATCTGTGCGTTGGTTTTGTGTGTGGTGTGAGGCATGGGCACAACTTTAATCCAACGCTGGTCCGACCGCTCCCACGTCATTTACTGGACGCTCAGTCCTTCCCTCTGACTTGGAAGGTCACCGTCATTGTCACCGTCATCAGAAGCTACTTTGTTCCTCAGACCCATCTGTGCAGCCCGTGGCGTTGTCAACGGGGCGGCTTGTGTGGTCCCTGCTCAGCCTCTGCTCCTTGGGACTCCCTTTACTGATCTCCCCTCCGTCCTGGCCAGCGATGCCCGGCACTCGGGCTCAGTACCTGAGACGCCAGCACCGTCCCACCTGCGGCTCGTCCACCCTGCAGGCTGAGCGTGGGAAGCCATGGTGTATCTGGAACATTCCTGACCCAGGGCCGTCCCAGGAGCTGGCAGTGCCCTGGTGCCCCCCCCCCCATCACTCCCTCAGGTTCTCCAGGTGCTGCCGACTTCCCAGGCTGCTTATGGAAAAATGGAAGCTGGGTCCTGGCCCTGACTGATCTCCTCCAAGGCATGCAGTAGCCTGGCTGCTTTCTTTAATGAGGGAGGAGAAACAGGACAAGGCACGAGCGAACAGCTCCGTCCACCACCTGTGCTGTTTACAAAGCTTACCTTAAACCCCGGGGCAGCCAGGGCAAAACATGCGACAGAGAACACCACTTCTGCTCAGCAAAATATTTATTAAGCGTCCACGTGCGCAGCCCTGAGCGAGGCCTCTGCCTCTCGGTGCTTAGTGCTTCTGGAGGTATCCCCACGAACTCCTACCGTCGGTGGCCCCACAGCCTGGAGGCCAAACCACACCCACTTTCCCGTGAGGCTTCCTGCTCAGGCCCTGCCTTCACCAGGAAGAACCACAGCAGGTGCACCTCGTGCCTCTCTACAACCTCCTGCAGTGCCCAGGGAGGGGGCACTGCCCAGGGAGGGGCACTCCCACTATTCCCACGGACACTTGTGAGTGTGAGATGCAGAATGGAGATGTGTTTGCCAGGAGACTCGAAGAAGTCGGTGCAAAGCAGGAGCCCTGGAGAATCCAAGTGTGGGATGCGGGTGGAGTGTGTCTCTTCCCAGCAGCCCCCAGGCCCAGGCCCGTGGGGGGAAGGCCAACTCACACTGCCCAAAGCCATTGGGTGCTGCGGGACATCTCGGGGCCAGGGTAACCAGCCTGCCCCTGCAGCAGCCGCCCCAGCCCAGTCAAAGAACCACACGGGGGAGGCCTCTCAGCCCATCTGCCGTGGCCATGGGCCTGGCGGGGGCTCTGGCCCCCTCAGAACTTCTGCTTTCTGGTGGGGGCAGAGCTGCCGACATCCCTGGCTGCCTCGTCAAAGCCGGAGTTGACGTAGATGTTGGAGGTAGGGTCGGGGTGATTTGGGCAGGAGCCCGCCGCAGCGTCAGCCGCCTCCTGGGCTCGCGTCCGCTCCAGAGCAACCAGAGCCGGGTTGACGTCAGGCCCTGCAGAGGGACAGGGACAGAGGCGCACGCTCACAACCGCGCAGTGGACGAGGGCCGCGGCCAGGAGAGGCGCCCCCACCCTCACCTGCTCTCCCTGACCTCAGAAACAGGACCGTTTCAGGGTTTTTTTTGGCTGCCTCGGCCCCTCCCTCCCCCTTCCTGCCCAGGCCCCAGGGGTGACCGTCCGCAGCCGAGACGCCTGCACGGAGGAGTGATTCCTTTCTCCGTGCAATGAGCTCAGGGTATGAGGCCCCCCAAGGAGCTCACCATGGCCCTTCTCGGCCCCTGCCTATGTGGCCCCAGCTTCGGGGGTCCTGACCACTGCCCGGGGCGGGGCAGGCCTGCAGGCGCCTCATCTCCCCTCTCCCCACCCCCCAACCATCAGCCCAGGTGGCCCCAGGTGCTCCGGAACCTCCAGGGAGCTGTCACGCCCGGGCCGCCCTGGCCCTGCCTGTGTCTCCCCGACCAGCCCCACCCACACTCTCCTCTTCCAGAGGGAGCTAGGGGGTTCCCGGAAGACACTGTGGTGTCACCGTTACAAGCAGCTACCGACCCTGGAGCTGGCTGATGCACAACAGGCCCTTCTACAACTGTTTCTAGGAATTCTACGTCGTCACGGTCTGGTGGGTAGAAATGGAACTCCGTCCAGCCTGCCCAGCTGAGACCAGAACCACCCCCCGCAGGGGCAACTTCTAGTGGTCACACTCAGCCAGCGGGCGCCGGGAAACAGGCACTGGTACTGCCACTGGCCCAACTGCAAAGGGAGGAACGTTCTGGAGCGGGCCAGCAAGCAGAGTTAGCAAAGATCCAGCACCGGCCACGCTGTGGAAACGCTCAGGGTCTCATGTCCGCTGGCTGGGAGCTGGTAAATCCTGGTGGAGCCACGTGGTGGGGTGGGGTTTCCAAGCTACGAACTGACAATCATTAAGGAGTCATTTAATCGGAAGATTAAAGCTGGTGTTTTTTAAATTCATGATAGAGGGACCGGCATTGTGGCATATCAGTTTGAGCTCTGGCCACAATACCAACATCCCATACAGGTGCCAGTTCAAGCCCTGGCTGCTCCACTTCTGATCCAGCTCCCTGCTCATGGGCCTGGGAAAGCAGTGGAAGATGGCCCAGGTGCTTGAGCCCCTGCACCCACAGGGGAGACCGGATGGAGTTCATGCTGCCTTTTAAATAAGTAAAATCTTTTTTAAAAAAAAATTAAATTAATGGTGGGATGCTTGCGTGTGGTGAGGGCGAGCGGGCTGGGCGTGTCGTGGCTGCGCGGTGTAACACACATGTCTCCTGAGTGCCACGCTCCAAAGCCCCGCAGCAGCGCCGAGGAGACCCATCGGCCCCCAAAACTGGGAGACGCATCGCTGGCACCAATGGCCCGCAGCAGCCTCCACTCCCGGGTCCTGCCGTGGGCGGGGCAAGTGCCCAGGACCTTGGCCCAGGGCTCGGGCGTCCACCGGCGCTCTGGTGGTGAGGACGGACAGCCCGGCACTCACCAAGGTAGCTGAGGATGACGGGCAGGAAGACCAGGCCGTGCAGCAGCCCCAGCAGGGTGATGAGGAGGTTGAGGCGGAAGAAGAAGATCTGGATGAGCTGGGCCTTGGCGAGGCCCAGGATGAGGATGCCCGGCAGGTTGGTCATGGCCACCCCTGCAAACACCTGGGGAGACCACAGCCCGGTGTCGGGGGCACGGGGTGACGGGCAGGGTGCAGGGTGTTGGCGGGGAGGGGGGGAGCCCAGGGTGTGGGGCAGGTTGGTCATGGCCACCCCTGCAAACACCTGGGGAGACCACAGCCCGGTGTCAGGGGGCACGGGGTGACGGCAGGGTGCAGGGTGTTGGCGGGGAGCCCAGGGTGTGGGGCAGGGCCCCGAGCTGCCCACCCCAGCCCGCTCACCGCACTGCCCATGGAGATGGTGGCCTCCTTGGCTCTCTCCAGCCGGCTGGGCTTGGTGCTGACGGCAAAGGAGCGGGTGATGTGGGACACGAACTCCACGGACATGCCCACCGCCTGCGGGCAGAGAGGAGCTGTTGCCAGAAAGCAGGAGGGAGCGCAGGGAGGCACGCAGAGCCGGGAGAGGCCGGGCAGCCGCCGCCCAGCGCCCTACCGTGACCAGATTGATGAGGGACACGGCGTTGTAGCTGATGCTCCACAGCGTCATGAGGCCCACGGTGTCCACGAGAATCATGACGATGGTCAGCAGGTTGAGGAGGCCGGAGCGCAGGTCCAGGCCCAGCAGGAGGCAGCAGACGACGAAGGTGGGCACGAGGCAGAGGCCGAGCGTGGCGAGCCCCTCCGGGAGCACGGTCAGGTACTGCTCGTAGAACACGTTGGAGATCCTGCGGCAGGTGCGTGCGCGCCGGGCGGTTACCGCAGGCCTCGGGCAGGAGGCCCCCAGCGCCGGGGCTGTGCGGGGCGCCCTGGCAGCCAAGCCATCCCCGGCCCGGGGTCCTCACGTGTAGGGGAAGACCTCGAAGGCGGGGTCCGTGCCCGGCACCTGCCGCAGGCTCGCGGTGATGTTGGCCGCCAGCTCCCGCGACGCCCGCAGGGCCTCGGTGTAGTCCTGCGAGTTCTTCAGCGGCTTGTGGTAGGCCATGAAGCGGGTGGCTGCGGGGGTCGGACGGAGGGCAAGGTCAGTGGCCCCGGGTGTGGGCCTGCTGCGCCACCCGTGCCGGGAGTTCCTAGTGGACCTTGCGGAGGGGGTCTGAATGGTCACCGTGCACTGGCCCCACCCCTGGGGGAGACCCCAGTCCAGGCCACCCTGAGAAGTGCTCTCCCTGAGCTGGTCTCTGTGTGGCTGCAGAGTCTGCCTTGGGTTCCGGCAATCAGTTCGAGGCCCGGCCCACGGAGCTGCGGGAGCCCTGCCCAGGTCCGGCACGGCAGTTTCTCAGTGGTGTGCGAGAGCGTGGGGATCAGGGAGCGCAGTGGAGCTGGGGACCCCTGTTCTGGAGCAGGAAGGGGCCCGAGGAACGCCTGCAGAGCCACACGCAGAGACTCGGGGACCGGGGCACTTGGATTTCAGGCAGTTTCCAGGCGATGCTCTGGCTGGGGCACTCCACTTTGAGAAGTGCAGCTACCCAGGGCACAAGTTCCCACGGAGGCTGCACCCCACCCCAGGTCATGGGGACAGGGTTCCTACGTCCACCGCTCCACAGCCACCCCTCCCCGTCGCCCTTGACCATCCACCTGCCCCTTCAAGCCTGTGGTGCCAGGGCCACACCTGGCCGCAGCAGGCCAGCCTTCCTGGAAGATGGGGGGAGGGGACAGGTGTGCTGAGTTGTTCAGTGCACAGAGAGAGAAGCCATGGGGAGGCGGCCTACCCACAGCTGGCCCCAGCCCAGGCCCAGCGCCAGGTGTGCGCCGAGCCCCGTGAGCTCCCTCAGCGGACGGCCACCTGGGTCTGCCACCTGCTGTGTTGAACCCTCAGCCCAGGGTTCTCTCCCCCACTGTCCAGTCTCGCCTCCCTGTCACTGTCCACAGCTGCTGGCACCCACTGCCCACCCTGCGGCTGGGTGCTTAGCCCCGGGGTGGGGCAGCACGTCATCAACCGCTGAAAGAATTTCTAGCTGCCTGTGACCTTGGCTGGGAGAAGGGTGGAAGTCTGGGAACGCGCGTGGGGCTGGGAACAGGACCCTGCCGACGGCGCCCAGGCAGCTGGAAGCCGCCCGGGGAAGGAGGAAGGAGAGCACTGATCCCGGAGTCACCCCCACAGGGGAGGCCACGCTTACCTACAATCTGGCCATCGGCGCTCAGGTTCACAGAGGTGCTGTACGCCGCCAGGCCACTGCCGGGGAAGCCACAGCACGGCTGAGTGGACACGGGGCCTCGTCCCGTCCACCCAGCCCCCACATCCCCAGAGAGGCGCCCCTGGGTTCGCCCCTCCCTGGGGTCCCCCACATCGCCCTTCCCGGTGAGTCCCCCTCTTGAGCCTACCCCTTGGGACATCGGATGTTGGGGGGGTCATTCAGAAACCAGGGCAGGTACTTGTGGAACTGCTCCACCGAGGGCCGCACAGGGCCCAGCGTCAAGCTCATGCAATTCCTCAGGCAGTTCAAGGAGTCTGCAGAGAGAGGGGGCTCTGGGCAGGGCTCCCCAGGCCGGGCAGCGCCTCTGCTGTCCCCCCGCTTCTCCTCCACCCCCGGCTAAGGCCCCGGCAGCCCCTGCTCCATCGTCCCTGCGCGTGCGTGTCTCTACCTGGGGGAGAGGTCCACTCTCAGGCACAGAAAGCGCCAGCACCTACACGCAGGGGCAGGGGGGAGCGGGGCAGGAAACCGGGGCTCCCGCTGCCCCTCCAGTGCAGCTGCTCATGTGCGCAGGCCACCGCCGGCCTCAGCGCCCCGTGCACCCCGTGAGCACGGGCGCGATTCTCGAGGGGTGCGGGAGTGCGGAGGCCTCGTCTGGCTCGGTCACCCACTCCCGTGCCCCTCCCAGGGCCCTGCCCAAAGGATCCTGCAGGGGACGAAGGGCTGAGGGAGCCGCCTGCGCTCTCCTCCCCCTCTGCCCCAAACTGCGGGGCCCCCACTCACTGACTGTGGAGGGGCAGAACTCGTCCTTATTGGGGCCGAGGATGTAAAGGCGGCAGCAGGAGGACGGGGTTAGCCAGTCGATGAAGTCGTCCACCCAGGAGGAGGCGGGGATGGCCAGGTAAGACCTGCGGGGTGTGTGTGTGTGTGTGTGTGTGTGAGAGAGAGAGAGAGAGAGAGGGTGGGCGGGGGCAGGGCCAGGCCCTCCCCTCCTCTCTCCTGCCCTCCCCTGGCTGTGGCCGGGCACTCACTGCTCGGGGAACTCGGTGGCGTATTGGATCTTCTGGGTGAGGGAGAAGCTGTCGCAGCCTGCGCTGGAGCAGATGGCGTTCATGCCCGCCTCGCTGGAGAAGTTGTAGCCCGAGGTGGTGACAAAGTACACTGGGGCCCCCACCTCAAAGTAGCGGTTCAGAAACAGGAAGTAGTCGATCAGGTACGAGTCCTGGGGGCAGGGAAGGGGCAGTGAGGGCTCAGGAGGTACAGAGCAGGTGCCTGCTCAGAGGACACACGGACAGGAACGCGCTGAGGCACACCCTCAGGTCCATACAGACACAGGTGCACGCTCAGGTACACACAGACACAGATGTACACGCTCAGAGGCACACGTACAGATGTACACTCAGGTGTGAGCTCAGGCACACAGACACACAGATGTACACGCTCACAGGTGCACACACTTGGAGGCAACACAGTGTACACTCAGATACAGATACACACAGGTGCACACTTGGATCCATGCAGACACAGGTGCACACTCAGGTACACACAGACACACAGATGTACACACTCACAGGTGCACACACTTGGAGGCACACACAGGTGCACACTCAGATACAGATACACACAGGTGCACACTCGGATCCATGCAGACACAGGTGCACGCTCAGGTACACACAGACACACAGATGTACACACTCAGAGGTGCACACACTTGGAGGCACACACAGGTGCACACTCAGATACAGATACACACAGGTGCACACTCGGATCCATGCAGACACAGGTGCATGCTCAGGTACACACAGACACACAGATGTACACACTCAGAGGTGCACACACTTGGAGGCACACACAGTGTACACTCAGATACACAAACTCACAGGTACACAGATACACAGAGGTGCACACACTCGGAGGCACACACAGGTACACACTCAGGTGCACACTCAGGTCCATGCAGACACAGGTACACACTCAGGTACACAGACATACACACAGGTGTACACACTTAGAGGTGCACACACTCAGAGGCACACACAGTGTACACTCAGATGTACAAACACACACAGGTACACACTCAGGTACACACACAGAGGTCCACACAAACCGGTGCCCACTCAGGTATACATAGACACACACAGGTGCACACCAGGTACACACAGGTGCACATTCAGGTCCACACACACACAGGTGCACACCAGGTACACACAGACACACAGGTACACATACCTGCATACCTATGGCGGTGCAGGCACAGAACACACACGACCCTAAGGGGACACAATTTATCTTTCCTCCTCTGTGAGCCTCTGACAAGCTGGCCTGTGGCTGCAGCTCGTGTCGGCCTGCACACTTGTCTTTCTTTCGGGAGCCGTGCATTTAAGGACTGGGCCATCCAGAAACAACCACAAATACAGACAAACCGAAGAGAGCAGCCACACATGGCCAGAGAAGGCTGACGGTGCAGGGCAGCCCTGGGAGTATGCTAACCCCACCTCAGGCTGGCGCCCAGCACACAGAAACCAGCAACGAGAAATAAAAGAAAATGTGAGGGAGCAAGGCCTAGGGAAGGGAGAGACTGCTCCCCAGTCACTGTGATCAGACCAGAAACCACAGACACACAAAGAAAAAGAAAAACATGGTCCAATCAAAGAAAAAATGACTGAACAGAACTATCTGGGACAGACCAGGGGGCAGACTTAGTAGAGGAAGACTCTCAGGCCCTCATCTCAGATTGGCTCACGGGTTCAAGACGGCGATTCAGTAACAAAACGGATGGGGCAGGTGAAGCCACCTCCTGCAGCGCTGGCATCCCATACAGGCGGGCGCTACTTGAGTCCTAGCCACTTCGCTTCTGATCCGGCTCCCTGCTGATGCACCTGGGGACCAGCAGAGGACGCCCAAGTCCTTGGGCCCCTGCACCGCATGGGAGACCCAGAAGAAGCTCCTGGCTCCTGGTTTCAGATCAGCCTGGCTCTGTTGTGGCCATCTGTGGAGTGAACCAGCAGATGGAAGACTCTTTCTCTCTTTCCCTCTCTCCCTCTGCCTTTCTGGAACTCTGCGTTTCAAATATATAAACAAATCTTTAAAAAAAAAAAAAAACACTTCACTCTCAATAATGAGCAGGACAGCAAAGCAGAAAACAAGCAAGGAAACAGAGACCTTGGCCAGCACAGTCAGCTGACAACACTCTACCCAGCAACACCAAACACGCTGCTCGAGTGCACATGGAACGTTCTCTAGGCCAGATTGCGTATCAGATCACAGATGACGCCTGCGACGCTGGGACAGGGCCAGGCTGCAGCCGGGAGCCAGGAGCTCGGTCCCGGCGCCTCACCGGAGTGGCAGAAACCCAAGCTGCCAGAGTACACAGCAGTGAACCGGTGGAATCAGGCGCGGGGCTGGGACTCAAACCTGGGCCCTCCCAGGAAAGCGGGTGCCCCGCGTAGCAGCTCGACCTCTGTGCCAAGTGCCCGCCCCCACTGGTGAATTCCTTCAGACATCGAAAGAAGAATCAGCACAAATTCTGCCCCAACTCTGCAAAACATGGAGGAAATAACCCTTCCTAACCCTCCTAGGAGGCCAGCTGTCGCTCCCCCTCTTCATGGAGGAACGACACTAGACCCTGCCTAGGCTTCCTATCCGAGTCACGGCACCATTATGTCGCTCCCCGTCTTCATGGAGGAACGACACAGGACCCTGCGCTGTTCTTTTCGTCTGCTCGGCCCTCCCCGGGTTTGCTGCTGGTTCTTCCCGGGTTGGCTACCGTCCCTTCCACCTCCGTGGAAGGGCGGTTCCCCCTGCCACTTTCCCCACTTCCGCGGGGGAGCGGCACACCGGCCGGCTCTCTCGGGGGCTGCACAGGTGTTCCTTCAGATAGATGTTCCTGGTGCATGGTGTCTCTCTCCTCCTTTATAGTCCTCTTCCACCAATCCCAACTCTGCTACCCACACGCTGAGCACGCTGCTCTCCTCCAATCAGGAGCAGGTCCTGCTGTTTATTGGTTGAACTGGAGGCAGCTGGGTAGAAGCTGTTTGCTCCTCTCCCAGCGCCATATTGTGGGAGAGCAGATGCATAGAATAAGTCTTAATTCCAGTAACTTAGTCTAGTCCGAGTTGCTCCCAGTTGCTCCCCACACCAGCACTGCCCTAACACCAAAAGCAGGCCAAGACACTACAAAAAGAACTGCAGGGCCAGCGCCGCGGCTCACTAGGCTAATCCTCCGCCTGCGGCGCCGGCACACTGGGTTCTAGTCCTGGTTGGGGCTCCGGATTCTGTCCCACAGTGCGCCAGCCGTGGAGGGTGAACCAATGGCAAAATGGAAGACCTTTCTGTCTGTCTCTCTCTCACTGTCCACTCTGCCTGTCAAAAAAACTGCAGAGTGGAGCCGGCGCCATGGAGCAGTGGGTAAAGCTGCTGCCTGGGATGCCGGCATCCCACATGGGTGCTGGTTCGAGTCCCAGCTGCTTCAGATCGAGCTCCCTGCTTGAGGCCTGGGAAGGCAGTGGAAGATGCCCAAGTGCTTGACCCCTACGTCCACGTGGGAGACCTTGAGGAAGCTCCTGGCTCCTGGCTTCAGATCGGCTCAGCCCTGGCTGTTGCGGCCATTCAGGGAGTGAACCAGCGGATAGAAGACACTTCTTTCTCTCCCTGATTTTTAAATAAATAAATAAGAAAACAAATTGCTTTGGAAAAAAAAAAAAAGGATACTATCAACAGTGAAAAGGAAGCCGGAGGAAGGAAGAAAATGCTGACAGGTCACAGGTCACATGGCTGAGAAGGGACTGACTTCCAGAGCACACGCGGGGCCCCTAAAACTCAGCAACCAGAGGGGCAGGCAGGGCAATTCACCCGCTAGTCACGGGAAAGCGCAGAGCCTCATTAATCACTGGAGAATTTCAGATCAAAACCACACCGAGACCCCACTGCACCCCTTAGGAGGGCTGAGCGTCAATGAGGACCTAGAGAAACCTCACACGCAGCAGGGGGCTGGGCCAGCTGCTGGCCATTCTTCCAGGCCAGCTGTCTCACGTGGGCGGCCCCCGGGCACCCACTGCGGCCGGGGCCACAGCTCCTGCGCCTTCCATACACGCATGTGACTCCCTCTCCACAGTGTGCCGTGACCCCGCCTGCTGGGGGCTGCTGCCCCTCCCTGAAGCCCTGGGGACCTAGGGCTGGGCGGGGCCAGGGCTTACCTTGGGCAGGGCCAGCTCCTGGTCCAGCCCCACGGTGACCTGGCACATGAAGTAGAGACTCGATCCGAACAGGAACAGAAAGAGCAGCAGCTGAGGAGGGAACCCTGTGTGAGAAACGCCCCCTCCAGAGCCCACCCCAGCCCCTGCCCCGCCTTCCCCAGAGGTGGGGTCTGGTGGGGGCATCATGGGAAACACCCCAGGGTGGGGGGCGCCCTCTAGCACCCGCCCCAGTACCCCAGCACTGGACATCACGCCCCCGCAGCCCCCGTGCCCTCTTACCACAACCACGTGGGGACCCTGTGCCCACAACCACGCGGGAGACCCTGCGCCCACTCACCACTACTGCGTGGGGGACCCTGTGCCCACAACCACGCGGGAGACCCCGCGCCCTCTCACCACTACCGCGTGGGGGACCCTGTGCCCACAACCACGCGGGAGAGCCCGCGCCCACTCACCACTACTGCGTGGGGGACCCTGTGCCCACAACCACGCGGGAGAGCCCGCGCCCACTCACCACTACTGCGTGGGGGACCCTGTGCCCACAACCACGCGGGAGAGCCCGCGCCCACTCACCACTACTGCGTGGGGGACCCTGTGCCCACAACCATGCGGGAGCCCGCGCCCACTCACCACGACCACGCGGGTGACCTTGTGCAGCAGGAGCGGGGCGTAGACTTTGCGGAAGAAACACAGCAGCAGCCCCTCGCTCTGCTGCTGGGAGGGCAGCTTCCGGGGCTCCAGGCAGCAGCACACATCTGGCCGGGAAGCCTTGGGCAGAGGCAGCCCCTCAGGGAGGGCCGGGGCAGACCCTGGGGGCGCGTGGGGCGGGGGGGGGCGCACCACGATCCCCGCCTGGGCACAGCCAATGCGCTGCTTTCTTAGCTTTTACCTCCAGCCGCATCAGATAGTTTTGAATTTTGCCTATTGCTAAACTGACGGCTGAACATCTGTCAACTTCCCACGTATATTTTATTTTCTGACTTTGGGTGTTTTAGGGGTTGGTCATATTTCCCCAAAACGACCTCCCTGCAATCATCTTTCCATGGGCAATTGGTCCTGTTACCACTACCACCCCCAGGCACCGGCTCTGCCCACCTCTGTCTCACTCCTCCTGCCAGTCAGGCGGGGCCCCGGCGCAAGGCCCTTGGCACTGGCCTGGCTGTCCTACCTCCTGCCTCTTGCTGTCCAGGGACAGCAGGGCCACGAAGGCAGTCATCTGCAGCAGGAAGTCGAGTTGCACCGCCAGGCCAGACGTCAGGGCAAAGGTACGCACGGCTGGCATGGGGGTCAGGGCCCCTGTGGGGGGGCAGGGGGCAGTCAGGGCACCCTGGTGCCCAGGACAGGGTGGGCACCTGCTCAGACAGGTGCAGAGAGAAGGGGGTCTGCCCAGCCGCGCCCTGGCCCAGCAAGCTCACCCAGGAAGAAGCAGATGGTCTCGGAGAGGCTGCACAGCAGCATGCTGGGAGCCACCCTGCCCAGGGCTCGGCCGATGTGGGCCTCCCGCGACTCCTCAGGCCTCCGCGGCAGCCGCTGTGTTAGGGACAGCAGGCCTGAGGGGCTGGGTGGGAGCCAGGCCTTACAAGCCCTGCACACCCCACTTCCCGCTTCCGGGGCCTGGCCCCAAGGGTGTCTCGAGCATCCTGCGTCCAACCCCATTGGAACCCTAAGTGTTTGCCAACAGGGAGAGGCTGTGTGGACGCTGTCTGTGCTTGCCGTGGAAGGAGGGACGTGGCCTGGCGTGCCAACGTGGAAGCAAGGCCGACGCACAGAGCTGGCACGGCACACAGGAGGATGTGTTTAGGTGCACGCACGCTGTTGGTGCAGGCACAACCCCGGGTGCTGACCCACAGTGAGGACGCACACGGTCGCCCGGAGATTTGGGGCTGGCAGGGGCCAGTGGCCCGGGGCGTGGAGCCGGCTCCCGTCTCACCTGGTACTCGAGAACGAGGATGAAGATGTTGTCGGCCCCCACGGCCAGCACCAGGAAAGGCACCACTTGCAGGATGATCAGGGACGACGGGATGCCCAGGTAGGAGAAGAAGCCCATGGAAGCCATGACCGCGCTCAGCACCATGACCACCCCGCCCAGGCCCAGCGTGATCTTGGAGTCCACCTGCAATGCAACAGGCTCAGCCCCGTGGCCACTGACACCCCTCCCGCAAGCCCGGGCAGGCGGGCAGCAGGCTCAGTGCCCACAGAGGCTGGGTGCTGCCTGCCACAGTGAGCATCTGTGTCTATGCCCCTGTGCAGAGCCGGGCTCCCCAGGGCAAGCCCAGAGCCCACAATGGCACGGGGGCCCCAGGCCGCTTCCAAGGCCCACGAATACTAGCTTTGCTGTGAATGCTTCTCCTGACCCTCTGTGGGGCCACTGTGGGTGTTCACCACCGTTTCCAGGAGCCCTGGTTAAGACAGCGTTAGGAGAGCTGCCGGAGGGGCCCGGCCACCGCTCGCCGTTCCCTGCCCGCTCTCACCGGCAATCGGCGCCAGCTGGAGTAGCGGCCCAGGGCCAGGGCGATGTACAGGAAGGTGACGATGTAGCTGATGGCAAAGATGGGCAGGTCCTCAGCCGTGGTGCGGTTGATCTCATCCTCCAGGGAGCGCTGTGCACACACCCACAGCCCCAGTGACCGGGCGCCCCGCGGCCCATGGAGAGTCCCCGCAAGGCTCCGGATACAGCCATCTCCGCCCCTCGGATGAGAGGGCGGCCACCGCGCAGGGCCACCCAGAAAGGAGCAGGGGCGGGACAGGGACACAGGCGCCAGCCCGAGACCGCCAGGGTTGCAGCCCCAGAGCTGGGGACCCCGCGGGCCCTACCTCGGCCATGAACGTGACCTGGAATTTGCTGGACTTCCCAAGCTGCAAGGCTCGCATCTCCTTCACGAAGGCCTCCTCCCAGAGCTTGACCTGGGCCAGGCGGGGGTCCCCCGCAGGGTAGTTGTTGAGGGAGAAGGTTAAGATGAGGGCCTCCGCATCCGAGTAGTCCTCGCCTGGGATGAGAGACGCCGCCCCCTGAGCGCCCCTCCCGGCTCCCACTCCCACTCCCTGTCCTCTCCCACTCCCATCCTGCCCCCCAACGCACCCCACATCCCACTTCCTCTGCGGGCCGCCAACAGGGCCACAGCACGGGGAGGGAGGGGTGGCGGCAGCCTCACAGGCAAGGCCACCCGCGGCAGCGGGAGCTCCCTGCGCCACAGCCCCTGCCCCTTGGTCTGCCAGGCTCACCAGCTTACCTTCGTATCCCCCAACGGCGAGGAAAGGGAAGACGGGCGCCCCGTAGTCGGCCATGCAGCTCAGGGACAGGGCCGTGCCGTCTTGGAAGGTGAGGGGGGCACTGTCGAGAGACAGCCACCATGGGAGGGGCCCTGCTGGTCCTGCCCGGCCCTCCACCCTCCCATCCCCCAGCACCCTGGAGTGCCCTGGCTGCACGATGCCCAGCCCAGCGAGTCCTAACCGGCCCGCCCCAGCCAGGGCTCGTGCCGGCCGCAGTGCAGGGAGGGGAGCAGCTGCCCTGGGCGCCTCGCCAGTGCCGGTCAGGGGCTGCGCAGCCTGGCAGCTGACCCCCCAAGCCCCAGGGTTATCTGAATCCCAGCCTCAGGTCCCGTAGTGTGGGGAAGCTAAGCCTGCGAGTCCGGCCCGAGCACCCCAAATGGTGACCACTGCCACCCACCCAGGCCCCTGAAACGGCGCTGAGTTCGGATTCTGTGCCCTGGAGCCGCTGTGTCCACCTTTACCCCCAGCCTGGCAGGGCTGCCCCCTCCGCCTGACCCCTTTCTGCAGAGCGCAGGGTGTCGAAGACTCCGTGGGGTCATCTGGGCTCTGAGCGAGAGGTGCTGGTCCCCAGCTCCTCCCTGGGGGCTATCACTGTGGGATCCTGGGCAGCCACCACACCCCTCTGAGCCTCAGTTCCCCCCTTCCCGGGGCTGCTGTGGGCATCATCCAAAGCAAGAGGACACAGGGGACTGTGACCTGGGGTCCGGGCAGCAGCCAGCAGCCCCCCCCCCCACCCGCTGCTTGTGGGGACAGCTCCCGGCTCGTGATGCCGACTCCCAGAAGCAGCTCAAACTTGGGCTCAGGCAAGAGTCAGGGAGCCAGGAGGAGGGCGGAGGTCCTGTGGGTTCCAGCCGCGGCCTGGGCCCCCCAGGGTCCTGATGACCCCTGTGAGGTTTTGCAATCAAAACTGTTCTCCCAGCAATGCCAAGAGGCTCTTTCCCCTGTAACCCTGTTTGCTCTCAGTGTACCGGGGCCAAGACGCTCACTCTGGGGACCTCCCATCCTCCCCCATCTCCAAGGGCCTGTGCCCTGCCGGCTGCCCCTCTCCCGGCAGCCTTGTGTGGATGGAGCCAGCCATGCAAGGGTGTGGCTGAGACTGGGCACAGCCCCTGCCTCCCCAAGGGTGCCCTCTCCTCATGGGCGCCGATGGCCCTGGGGACCCTACACAGAAGCCAGGAGGAAATCACACACGCAAGCCGGAAGCTGGGCCCGTCAGGTTCCTCTGTGAGGCCTGAACTGAGGGCGCAGGGGGCGCTGGAGGAATGGGGCTGGGGCCGGAGAAGGGCACCACCCACACGCGGCTCCCCGGGAGAGGCTGGGAGCCACCGCCGGCCACCTCGGAGGGCTGCACGCGGCCTCCGCTCCGGCCCGGGCCCCGTGGCGACTCACTTGGCACAGTAGAGAAAGTGGTCCCTCCAGTCGACCTGGGCAGTCTGGCCCAGGAGCGTCTGGTTGGCCGTGAGCTGCAGCAGCGTGCGGTTGTTCTGGAAGTACTGCAGCAGGCTGTTGATACAGCAGTCGGTGAGGCTGGCGTTGTGCGGGTTGAGCGGGGCGTAGCAGACGTCCCGCAGGCTCACGTTGCGCTGCGCCTCGGGCGACCACACCTGCAGGGCCCGCAGCCGCTCCTGCAGCTCCAGTAGCTCCAGCAGCAGGTCCATGGCCAGGATCCCACTGAAGTTCCGGGGCCCCAGCAGCAGGGAGTTGTAAGTGTAGCGGGAGCGGGTAGGCGCCGTCAGGATCACCTGGTTCGTTCGGAAGAAGGGGCCGAAGTGCTGGTCGTGGAAAGCCTTCTCGCTGCGGGCTTGGCTGTTGGGGGCCGACCACAGCTCCACGGGGTCCGTTGTGAGCTCCGTGAAGGCCAGGCCACACGCCAAGGACACCACGACCGCGATGGACACGGCCAGGATGGTCAGGGGCCACGAGGCCACCCACGTGCCCCAGCACTGGAAGAGCCGATGGAGGAAGGTGTGGATGGACAGGCTGATGCGGTGGGAGAGCCTGGAGCAGGCCGTGGGGGCCGTCGCCGTGCCCCTGGCCTTGGCCGAGTACCTGCGGGCGCACACGAGGCCCAGGAGGAGCACGCCCAGGGTGCTGCAGAGGATGACGACGAGTGCCACCCCACCCCGCACGCGGCCAATGCGGAAGGAGGAGTCCAGGGCCTCAGGCTGCGTGATGGCCGGGCAGGACGCGGCACAGTCCTGGCAGGAGCAGGCCGCGGCGCTGTCCTGGGACTCGTTGCAGGGCGCGATCTCCGCGTTCAGCAGTTGCATCCCGCTGCCCGGCGCCTGCCCGGGCTCCCGCAGGTGGAAGGTAATGTCCAGCGGGGCCAGGCCGTTGCTCGTGTCCCCCTGGAAGTTGAGCCAGCGCTGGGCGTTGCAGAGGGCAGAGCCGTACACGCCGCACATGCTGCCCACGGCCAGCGTGGCGGCGGCGGGGATGCGCACGCGGCTGCAGGACTCGTAGGCCCGCTCGGCGAAGCTGCGCTCGTAGTAGGCCTCGTAGGCCACGACGGCCTGGAGCTGCCCAGCGCCCTGGGAGACCACGCGCGTCACGTTGATGAAGAGGCTCTGGTCCGGGCTGCAGGTGTTCTGGCAGTGCAGGCTCACGAAGTTGTCAGAGCAGGCGGGGCAGCGCGTGAGCAGGGCCTTGGTGACGGACATGCTGGTCTCCAGCGACACCAGCTGCCTGGGCGAGCAGCAGGCGTAGGTGGTGTTGGGGCCGTTGTAGAGGCGGGGGCAGATGCGCTCCAGGAGGGCCAGGTGGTCGCCCGTGACATGGCGGGCAGGCGTGTTGGACAGGCAGGACACGTTGGACAGCGATGTGAGGCCCCCAGACAGCTCAGGGTTCTTCCCGCACTCCTCGTAGAAGGCGCAGTAGCCGGCCTGGTGCACGGGCGTGTACAGCTCTGCCTGGGCCTGAGGACGAGAGCGCGTGCAGTGGCCAGGGAGGGCGTGGGGTGGGCAGGACGTGGGGGACGGCCTCCCGGAGGTGTGTGTGGGCCCCCAAGGGCGGTACAGGGGCTCCTTGTCCTGGAGGGCGAGGGCTCACTGAAGAGGGGACAGACCCCACTCTACGGAGGTCACGCTGCAGAGGGAAGGCCCGGTGGGGAGGCGGAGGCACTCCAGGGGCCCCCACGCCACACGCCACAGGCCGGGCCTCTCACACCAGGCCTCCCTCCGGCTCCGCCTCAGCCCCGACCTCCTCCCATCGCCGGGATGCCCACGACCCTCCCCTAGTGCTGGCCTGGCCCCCTCCCCAGCGCCTCCTTGACACGGACCAGAACCCCCCAGCGGGGCCAGGGACCCTGCCAGCCACTTCTCCCTGTCCACGTCCCCTCAGCCCTGTGCCCTGGAGACCCCCACACACATACACCCCAGAGCCTGCCCTCCCTCAGGGTTGCTCAGCGACCTGGCCCCAAGAGCAGGCAGAAGGCAGGACTCACCTGGTGCAGGAGCAGGGCCCAGAGCAGCCAGCCCCGCGCAGCCCCTGCCATCCCGAGGCCGGGTGGGAACAGGCCAGGCCTCAGTGCCAGGCCTCGAGGGCGCGGGGACTGGCCTGGGGATGCACACTCAGGCAGCTCCTCCCCCTCAGGGACAGCCCTGGCCTGACAGGGTTGGAGACCAATGGCGCTGAGCCCTGTTAATGATCCCTGAGTGCCCCTCCCACTTCTTCCCGATCAATGCCCCCCACTTCCGTGAACCTCCCAGTGGAGGTGCTGGGGGCCCCACCCACGACCCAACACAACTGCAGGAGGGAAACCCCCAGCTGCCCCCCGGGCGGCCTCTGCTGGAGTTGGTGCCAGGCCCAGGGTGACAGTGGTCCCAGGCCCCCGAGGGGCTCAGCGTGGTCCCCATAACCTCCACGCAGCCTCTCACCCTCCACTCTGCCCCAGCTCCTCTGGGACCAGGGCCAGCCTGACTGGACACGCCCTCTGCACTGTCATCCTTAGCAAATGTCGTGAATTAATATTAACAGCCTGATAACAGGGGACAGTGGGGTGGAGGGACAGCTCCCTCCAGGGCTGAGGGTGGGTATACTCCGCGTTCTCCTGACCTCACCTGGCCCTTCCTCCCCTCTCCTCCCTTCCCTCGGCTCTCTTGCCCCTGGCCCAGACCTGGCCCACTGGCCAATGCTGGCCAAGCGTCCTGGGCTGTAGCCCCAGTGCACTGGACACACCTCAGCTCCCTTCTGATAGGAATCTTCTGGGCCTCCCTTGGGCTCTCACTATCACCAGGATGGGCCAGGACCTTGGCCCCGTCACGAAGGCTGAGCAGCGATAATGCTGAAGCCACCCCCTACCCCTCATGACAGCGGCTGGGAGGGGCCTCGGGGCCTCGGGGCCTCTTCCTCTGGCTCCATGCTCCATGGACCCTGGCAGGATAGGGGAGCCATCCAGGCTGTGCCAGGATAGACAGGCCGAGGGGAGGGGATAGACCCATGCCCTAGTGCAGGGCGGACCCCTGGCCCACACCTCCCTGCTCCGGGCTTCAGACCCTGAGAATCCATTAGCCACAAAGCTGGCCTCTCTGTCCTTGTCCTGGGTGTTGGACCCCAGGGCAGACGGCTCATTTGGGAGGCCGCCTAGGTGACAGCAGCAGGTGAGTATGGATGTCAGGGAACCGGCCAAGGGACATTTCGGAGCAGCTCCTGCAAGTGGAGACCTCCTTTGATGATGGGGACTCTCCCCGAGGGTGCCCTCCAAGGAGTAAGGGGGCCATGCTTCCCCACCTCAGGGGGTCACTTCACTCCTGGACGCTTGGTCCCCAGACACCTGTGGCCAGCACACGCCCATGTTGAGGGCCTTGGCAGCAAGAAGTCACCGTCGGCGTGCAGGGATCGGTAGTGTCAAGACAAGAGTAGGTTCCCAGTTGGATTGCGCCCAGCCTGGCACCCACATGGGAGACCCAGAAGAAGCTCCTGGCTCCTGGCTTTGAATTGGCTCATCTCCGATGGTTCACTTCTCAAATGGCCCAGGCTAGGCAAGGCCGAAGCCAGGAGCCAGGACCTTCATCCGGGTCTTCCACGTGGATGCAGAGGCCCAAGCACTTGAGTCATCTTCCTTGCTTTTCCAGGCCGTTAGCAGGGAGCGGGATCAGAATTGAGTCATCTTCCATTGCTTTTCCAGGCCGTTAGCAGGGAGCGGGATCAGAATCGGAGCAGCCGGGACTCGCACCGGCACCCACATGAGATGCTGGAGCCACAGGTGGAGGCTTACCCTACTACGCCACAGCGCCGACCCCTCAAATAAATAAATTTAAAAATTAATTAATTAGGCCAGCGCCGCGGCTCACTAGGCTAATCCTCCGCCTTGCGGCACTGGCACACCGGGTTCTAGTCCCATTCGGGGTGCCGGATTCTGTCCCGGTTGCCCCTCTTCCAGGCCAGCTCTCTGCTGTGGCCCGGGAGTGCAGTAGAGGATGGCCCAGGTGCTTGGGCCCTGCACCCCATGGGAGACCAGGAGAAGCACCTGGCTCCTGGCTTCGGATCAGTGCGGTGCGCCGGCCACGGCGGCCATTGGAGGGTGAACCAACGGCAAAGGAAGACCTTTCTCTCTGTCTCTCTCTCTCACTGTCCACTCTGCCTGTCAAAAAAAAAATTAATTAATTAATAAACTGTGGGTAACGTGTTGGTACCTGACGATCTTCCTCCGTTTGGGGGTTTATGTTCCTGGAGACCAGGCGTGCGTCCTTGTTTACTATCCCAAGGGCGCTCCTTCTCACGGTTCATCTGATTATCAGGATTTATCAGATGCTTGGTTCCTCGGGCCTGGGTAAGGGTTTGTGCCAGCCCTGGGCGAGGGCCCCAGTGCCTTCCCCGAGGGTGTGGCTCTCCACTCCCACCTCTGTTGTGTACAATATTCGTTGTCAAACTTCACTAGCTTAGTAACTGTGAAATGATACCTCATTACAGACTTTCTCTTCTCCTAAGACTGAATGTGCCTGCAACGTGGCCACTTTGAGCGGGCCCAGGGAGGGAACTGAGCTGTACCACATCCCTAGGGCAGGAGGCCGTGGGAGCGAAGCAGCCCTCTCTGGCCAGGGGCAGGGGGACGCTGGGCAGTGTACCCGGGCGACACAGGCCCAACCTGCGTCTCAGCAAATGCACAGGCTGCTGCCCCCCGCACCTGCCGCAGCGCCCTCTGCTGCCTGCTGTCCCCCAGCCCACTCAGGGCAGTGGCCCCCAGCAGCTGGGAGCCCATCGCTCGTGTCCACACTGAGGTAGGGAAGGGCTCAGGCCCACGGAGAGGAGCAGACCTCTGGGTGGACAGGGTCTGCCTCCTTCCCGAGGGCTCCCTGGAGGAGAGGGCAGGCAACGTGGTCAGCCTGCCCTGACCGCTGCCACTGAGCCCCGTGAACCCTAGCCACAGGTCTGGCAGGGCTAAGAACATTTCGGCCATGGAGCCGGCGCAGTGGTGCAGTGGGTTAAAGCCCCAGTCTGCAGCACTGCCATCTGATACGGGCACCGGTTCGAGTCCCAGCTGCTCTACGTTTTTTTTTTTTTTTTTTTTTTTTTTTTTTTTTTTGACAGGCAGAGTGGACAGTGAGAGAGAGACAGGTGAGAAAGGTCTTCCTTTGCCGTTGGTTCACCCTCCAATGGCCGCCGCGGCTGGCGCGCTGCGGCCGGCGCACCGCGCTGATCCGATGGCAGGAGCCAGGAGCCAGGTGCTTTTCCTGGTCTCCCATGGGGTGCAGGGCCCAAGCACCTGGGCCATCCTCCACTGCACTCCCGGGCCACAGCAGAGAGCTGGCCTGGAAGAGGGGCAACCGGGACAGAATCCGGCGCCCCGACCGGGACTAGAACCCGGTGTGCCGGCGCCGCTAGGCGGAGGATTAGCCTAGTGAGCCGCGGCGCCGGCCCCAGCTGCTCTACTTCTGATCCAGCTCTCTGTGTGGCCTGGGAAAGCAGTGGAAGATGGCCCAAGTGCTTGGGCCCTGACACCCACTTGGGAGTCTCGGAAGAAGCTCCAGGCTCCTGGCTTCGACTCGGCGCAGCTCAGGCCATTGAGGCCAACTGGGGAGTGAACCAGCGGATGGAATATCTCTCTCTGCCTCTGCCTCTCTGTAACTCTGCCTTTCAAATAAATAAATCTTAAAAAAAAAAAAATGCAGACAGAGCACCAAGTAGAGACATTAGGATGGAGGCCATGGGCTCAGGTTGACTGGGACAGGGGCTGGGCAGCAGTTCACTGGTGCTGATCTCCACGTACCGGCACTAAGGAGCTGGCCGGGTGGCCTTCCTGCTGGGAGCCTGGGGTGGTGAACACTGCACCGGGAACTGTCAGACCACAGGAGCGTGAGCGGTGGGCGGACGGCGCCCGGCCCCTGACCACACTCAAGTCTCTGGAGTTGGTGAATATGGTTGTGGAGCATCTGTGGCCTTGGGCGGGGCCCAGCTGGGGCCTCCTGCCTCAGCCCTGAGTCACCCAGGCGACACAAGGTGGGGCCCTGCCGGGGGCCACAAGGTCCAGCCAGCCCAGCACTGTCCTCACCAAGTCATTTCCTGCGAAGCGGAAGTGGTGCCCCCGAGGCAGGCCGGGCACTCCCAGGGGAAGTTTTAGTGAACAGCAAGGCTCAGGAATGCACCTGCCTCCCGGGAGCCCCCGCGCCGCGGCCGCGCTTCCTGAGGTCAGAAAGTCAGACCAGGACAGGCGAGGGTCACCTGCACCCCACGTCGGATGCAGCTTCCTGCCGACGCATCCTGGGACGCAGAGGGCTTGGGTCCCTGCTACCCACACGGGGGACTCGCGTAGGTTCTGGGGCTCCTGGCTTCCATCTGGTGGTTCTAGGCATTTGGGGATGAAGTCAGAGGATGGAGGATTGATCTCTTTCTCTCATATATAAAGTGCAAAACAAAACAAGCCCACGACCAGCCCCACAGAGCAGGGCAGGGCTAGGGAATGCCAAATTCAGCCAATACGCACTGTGCCCAGTGAAACCTGAATTTCACAGCACCCAGCTGGTGTGTTTACGTGAGTGGGCCCAGGTCCGAGGCAGCTCCTGGCCATGCTGTCAGCGCTCGGTGGACCTGCAGTCGGACTCCAGCTCGACACCCGCACCAAGCCCCCACCCCGCTTCCTGACAGACGCCAACCCAAGCCTCCACCTCCGCTTCCACACCAGAAGCCAATGAGCACTTCCCGCTCCACCACTTAGCTGGGGGTATTTGCGCCGGCTCCTTCGTCTGAGCCTCAGTTTGCCAACCCGTGAAATGGATGGTGAAGTTATAGCTTTGCCTCCAATTGGGGTTCAGGAACCAGCAGCATTGGCTCACCCGGGAGGAAGGTTGTGAGACATGCAGGGCCCCAGGCCCCTCTCCAGGCCTGCATTTTAAGCTCTGATGTGACTCTGTGTACAGGGGCATTTGACGCCTGCTCACTAAGGTGTGAGCGGAGCCAGGCATCCAGGCACCGGGGCCATAACCACACAAATCGGCCTCACAGGAGCCCGGGGCTGGGGAACATCTCTACCTCCACTCACAGCCGAACGCCCCCAGG